CATTTAAATAATTTAAAACTATTCCTAAAATTGTATTTACAATAATTTTGGAAATATACTTTTTTTCCAGAATAAGGAACTGTTTTTTATTAGTATTTCACAGTAAATATAGTCATATTCGACCCATTTCAATTGAAGCTGCTTGTTAACATCAAAACCTGGATCTGCWATTGCAAGTAATCCCTTACTTTTTTTATAAACATGCATTTAGATTTGGATTTGAGAGAGAACTTTAGGTTGAATAATATCATTCTTAATGTAATTAGACACTGTTTTGTAATTAATAGGACATTTTATTTCCGTGACAAAATCTGCAGCTATTCCATCCGCTGAAGCGCCAATAATAGGGAAACCTTGAAGGATAGCTAAACCTGTTGTTTCAATGTCATAATACATTTTTTTAACTTCACTAAAAACCTAAATAATACACATTATTAGTTATTGTGAATACAATATAAGCAGTGAAGTCAGCCACTAGTCAGGGGCAGACAGGAATACAGGATACAGGCATTTTAATCGTATATCCAACAAATGTGTCCTACCCAGGGCCGTCTTAAGGTTTTACGGGGCCCCGGTCCCAACATATTTCGGGGGCCTTACAATACCTAATAAATTATGATTTATGATATACATATACATTTTTTAACACATTATCTATATTATTTATTAAATATTCTACATATAATTATGTTATTTGTCAATTTTTAAATACTCTTTAATGGTTTCTTCCTAGCTTTTTCATTTGCAAAGTCTTCTATAATATTTTCATAATCTAAACTTGATAGTAGTTCATGTTCAATACTCATTAAAGATAAGGAGTTTAATCGTTTCTGACTCATGGTACTTCTAAGCTCTTCTTTAATTAAATTTAACTTGGAAAATGAACGTTCCCCACTACAGTTGGTAATCATCATTGATAAAAAAATTCGGAAAGATATCATTATGTTTGGAAATGTTTCTTCTAGTCCATTTGATTTTAAACATTTKTATGTACTAAAAATACTGAACTCAGAAATATCAAGTTCCGATAGATATGCTTTTAAATGTATACTTTCTAAAATTAATTCATTTTCATCAATGTCTACATGATAAAATTCCGCAAATATTTTACAATGGACTTGTATTTCTTTTGTGTCTAAATTTTTCAAATTTGATAAAAATCCAAATAGTTCATTTATAGATTTGTATGATTTACCACGAATTTCTAACTGAGTTATTAATGTATCTATTATTGGGAAGTAAGTTTCTATTTTGAATTTTCACTACTTGAAAACGATATATTTTCGTTGGTCTGTTGGAATGTTAAATGAATACTCCTCTTTTTAGTTCGTTGATGTAAATCTTTATAGTCTGAATCTGGAAATTTTTCTCTAGCGACAGATTCATAATTATAAAATTCATCTCTAATTTCACTTAGAAAACCAACACGGGAATCAAATAATTTTGAACCGACGTCAATGGTTATGTTTTCTTTTTGTAAATTTTTATTTGTTTCATTTATTCTTGATAAGATTTTACTCCAAATTTCAGTAAGAACAATATTTTCCAACATTTCCATTTTCTTAATTAAACCATGTGTTTCGTTTTTAACACCCGGTGAAGTCTTATCCTCTATTTTAATTGTTTTTAGAGCATCTAAAATTTCCTTGTAACCGTTACACAAGACAGTAACAGCATCAACTCGAGCAGACCATCTAGTTTCTGATAGTGATTTTAAAATATAATGTGAGCCCAAGCACTTCTTCATGATATTCCAACGATAGGTAGAACTCGAAAAAAAATTATACAACTTTTGTACAAACTGAAAATAACTTACTGCTTCCGTAACACATTCCGCTACACGAACCTCAACCAAGTTCAAAGAATGAGCTGCACACGGAATAAAAACGGATAAATTACAATTTTCTTTTATTCTGRCTTGTAGACCAGCATATTGTYCTGACATATTTGCAAATTGCAGCATTGTCATACGACTGGCCACGACAATTGTTCAAACTAATCTGATTTTTTTCAAGAAAAGATGAAATAACTTTAAATAAATACTCAGATCCATGTTCATCAATAGGAATAAATTCTAAAAAACGTTCTTCTGGAGTATCTTCATTAACATATCGAATAATGAATGTCATTTGATCTATATGAGAAAGATCAGGAGTGGAATTAACACTAATTGAATAATACTTAGCCACTTTTAATTCCGAAATAATTGTATTTAGCACTTGTCTCYCCATTATGTTAATAAATTCATTACAAATATTAGCTGATAAATATGAAGGACTTCCTTTTCCTTGATTTCCATATTTATTTAAATGTTCCAAAAGAAATGGATCAAATTGGCTTATTCACTCTAAACAGCCCAAATAGTTCCCATTGTGTTGAGTTCCTATTATTTGATTTTCTCCGCGAAACGCAAGTCCTCKTGACGACAAACATTTTATTACAGCAACAATTCTCCTTAATACTTCTTTCCAATAACTTACTTCCAAATTTATTTGATAAGATATTTCTTGATCTATGCRACCATTATTTTTTGTCCTAACAGAAAAAGTCATAACAGATTCTCTGTGCATTAAGCTATTTTCATGCCCCAATACAACCGTATGAACATGTTTCCAGTCATTAAATCCTTGTTCACAATTAAATCCAGTTTTTGTAGAAGAAAAAAGACGACWTACAAAACAAAACAAAGCTTTTTTCGAGGGAGAATATAAAAGCCACGATCTATCGACATTTTCACAATTTTTTAGTTGACGAGTGAATATTGACTTGGTTAAGTGTCTCACTTTAATGTTACCATTTGATTCTATATAAGTTCGAGTGGAACTGTAAAAGTCACTATTTTTATTTTGAAAAAATTTGGAACCTTTTYTAATATACATATTTCGTTTTTCTTCAGTTAATGTATTCCARTTTCCGGGATCWTTTGATAYTAATGAATTGTCCTCAACTATTTCTGGAGAATCAATGAAACATTTATTAAGKGCTTAAAGTATGATTTTGAGATACTTGTGATTGTTGGTTAATKSTTATMGTTTCTTGGGATATYGGTAAAACTAAATTAGTTTCTTCTTTGGGAGGAAYAGAAGAAAAAAAATCTGTAAGCTTAGGTAARGAATTTATGATTTTTTTTTCGTTGATTTCTTTTATGATTGCTTTTTGCCTCTTTGAAGCACCACTAGAATATGAACGCTTTGACATTTTGAAATGATTATATTTTTGACGTTAGCCAGAACATCTGGAATATATACGATCGTCTACTACAAATATTCTGTTTTATCAATTTTAAATACTAACTACTATATCTATTATACTTATTTTATAATAATACTTAAGGAAACAGTTTGTAACAAATACGCAACATTATAAATAAATCAAATAATAATTTTAAAGAATCTCTCGTCAACGCTTAGCATATCAATTAGATTATAAATAATATAATAAACGCGTAACTAAGATTATTCATTTGTATTACAAAAATTGTTAGGTATATTAATAAAAGGAATCTTTCCTAAATTTTCATTTTTCATCTAATTGAGTGTGTAATGTATCAATTTATAATTTACAATGTGGGTACAGGTTGCGCTCTCGGTTCCGCTAGTGGCACGTCTTCCTCGAACGACGGTGCAATCCGACCGGCAGCTATTGTGTCGCAACTGAACTTTCGAATAGAGGGGGGGAAGCAGTGTGTGGAGACATAACTTTGTAGATTATATTGTTAATCGAGCGCGCGACAATTATGATAATAATAAGGTGGTTTTGATAATAATAATCACAATGATTTATAATAGCAATAATAATAATAACTGTGCACGAAAAAACCTGTGACGTTACAAGATAATTTTATATTATCAGATATAYATAGGCCCTCGGGGGCTGCCGGGAGAAGGATTTCTTGTGAACAGCCGTTGTCCAAGAGTTAGTCGATCCTAAGGTTGGAGAGAGAACCTCGTACCAAGGGAAAAGGCGTTTTAGAATCGCCATGGGATTCTGTATTCCGGAACCCGACGCGGAACCGCTCCCTAGTGTTCGGGGTTAGGTCTTTTGTCTCGCCCGGGTGACCAAAATGAACTCGAAGAAGCCGCGGGGGGTCCGGGAAGAGTTCTCTTTTCTCTGTGAGCGTTGTACGTCCCTGGAATCCTCTAGCCGGGCGATAGGGACGCGAGCGCCAAGAAAACCGCTTGTTATGGCCCCGTCTGTGACCCCCACRTGGACCTTGAAAATTCGAGAGAGGGCCACGCAGAGTCTTAGGCTGCGTCGGTTCATACAGATATCCGCAGCAGGTCTCTGAGGTGAGCAGCCTCTAGCCGCATAGAATAATGTAGGTAAGGGAAGTYGGCAAAACCAATCCGTAACTCCAGGATAAGAATTGGCTCTGAGGAGCRTGGCGGATCGGGTTTGGGTTGTCGTATAAACCTAGGCGATGCTGGTGCACCCCGGCCGTTGCTAGTCCGTCTCGGTATCGGTTGGCCGCGTAGCCGGATCGACCGCCATGTAACGGTCAACTCAGAACTTGCTTCCTCGGATCTTAAGAGTGYGCGCACCGCGGGTTAGGTGTCAGCTTACGTGAAGCGGACTTGGTGCCTCCCTGGCCAACTCGGGTAAGGGTACACGAATCATGCCCTTCACCCGAGGAAACTCGCGTAATTGGTGAGTACTCGCTCATCTTGTCTTAGGCCGGCTACAAGCAGCGAGGCCACCGTCGGGTGGTTCAGGCCGAGATTTCTCCAGATGTCAAGGCGTTGCCACACGACATGGTGCTCTCTCATGGACACTCACACGTCTAAGTACTCGGTGTCGATGAGAGCCGCATACGGCCAGGGCAGATTAGAACACGTTGTCCTGGTATCGTCGTTTTTTAATACAACGTTCTAACCGTTGAACACGTCGAGCACCTTGACCAATTTTCCTTGTCAAGGAAAAGAGGGCAATCATATATACGGATAMAAATGGTCATTCGAAACTCTGGCACTCCTCCTCACGCAATCGCCGGGGTAGGATTGTCGAAGAATTCATTGACAGACATGGGTTACGCAACCATAACGTCGCAGATCAACTAGACACATTTTGTCGCCAGGACAACCGTTCTTCGAACATAGACGTGACATTGTCACCACYCGGTATCATCCCAATTATTAGCATCTGGAAAGTGAGTGATCTCACCGATAGCGATCACAGGGTAATCATATTTGACTTGTCAGTACCTAAGTCCACACGAATCATGACTTCTAACGACACCGGATACCAGGTTAAGTCGGTCGATTGGGACTTTTTTAGGTCAACTCTCGCGGGTGAAATTGGCGGCATCGCAGAGTCTAGCATATACGCCATGGCTAAGGGCATAGATAGGGTAATGAACAACCGACATATCAATCGACAAAAGTAAATCTCACACCGACAATGGTAAAATGTCTGGTGGTCTCCAGTGCTTGCAAGTCTGCGCAAGAACCTAGTCCCGAGAGGTGCCTGGRACTTACAAATACCGACCGTCAGAGGTACAATAGCCTTCCGAACGAGTTCCTAGACACGATCAGGTCTCTCAAGCTAGAGGCGTGGAAAGTGTTTGTGGGCGACTTAAACCAAAATCCGTGGGTCAAAGCCTTCAGATGGGCCAAGAATGGCAGCCGACCCGAGCCAATCAACTGCACGCTGTCTAAGGCAGACGGTTATCCCACATCAGACTATGATGAGGTAGCCGAGCTAGTTCTAAAAACCTTCGTTCCCTCAGATCCGAGTCACATCGGATCGGTGTTCCAGCGGCCGCTAACGCTCAGGCCGTCCCTTGAGCAGGAACTTATAAAGGCCGCGATTTGCGAATGAAGCCGACCAGCGCTCCAGGGGAARACGGCATCACTACGGGCATGCTACATAAGGCTTGGGYAGTTATTAAAGAACCGGTGACGAAACTGTTCAGCTGGTGCTTGTAGGACGCTGTCTTCCCTGACTCGTGGAAGTCAGCAAAATTGGTAATTATCCCAAAACCAGGAGATATGGACCCGAGTCAGGTGAAATCATACAGACCAATCACCTTCCTA